GTGCCCATGGGCCTGTTGGGACACATTTCCGTGCCTGCACGGCCCACCGATGCGGGACCCCAGCCGGGACCCTCAGGCCGGGCCCCGCTAAGCCTCTGCCACCCCAGGCCATGCCCATGGGCCTGTTGGGACACATTTCCGTGCCTGCACGGCCCACCGATGTGGGACCCCAGCCGGGACCCTCAGGCCAGGCCCGCTAAGCCTCTGCCACCCCAGGCCGTGCCCATGGGGCGGCTTCCGAGACCTGCTGCACGTGGGCACCCAGGCCCGGGAGGACCTCTTCGACCTGGTGAGCTCCCCCAGGCCAGCAGGCGGCTGGGTCCTCGTGGGGTGGGCAGTCCTTGGAAGGGGCAGTGCAAGCCCCAGGCCACCAGCTGATAGGCAGAGAGGCGGCTCTGAGTGCTCCCGGCGCCTCTGGGGTGCAACTTCCCCAGCTCCTCCCCCCCCCTCGTCTGCCACCACACCTGGGCCCAGGTGTGAGGTAGCCCATGCCAGCCTGTTCCCCTGCTGGGGGAAGGAGCTGCTTTTGCGGGGGCAGAGAAGTTGGCCACGCTCAGCTGCCAGGGGCAGGGAGCTGCCTCCTGGGTGGGCCGTGCTGGGGCCGCCCCTTCTGACTGTCTCCAGGGCCTGCCCATGGGCCTGTTGGGACACATTTCCGTGCCTGCACGGCCCACCGATGCGGGACCCCAGCCGGGACCCTCAGGCCGGGCCCGCTAAGCCTCTGCCACCCCAGGCGGTGCCCATGGGCCTGTTGGGACACATTTCCGTGCCTGCACGGCCCACCGATGCGGGACCCCAGCCGGGACCCTCAGGCCGGGCCCGCTAAGCCTCTGCCACCCCAGGCGGTGCCCATGCCCGAGATGCTGTACGAAGAGGTGCTGGAGGTGGAAGAACGCGTAGTGCTGTATCGTGGGGAGCCGGGCTCCGGGACGCCTGTCAAAGGTGTGTGCCTCGCCCTGGCCGGTCTGGCTCAGTGGACACAGCGTCGGCCTGCGGACCGAAGGGTCCCGGGTTCGATTCCTGTCAAGGGCATGTACCTCGGTTGCAGGCTCCTCCCTGGCCTGGGCCCTGGTCGGAGGCGCGTGCAGGAGGCAACCAATCAACGTGTTTCTCTCACACGATGTTTTTCTCTCTTTCCCTCTCTTCCACTCTCCCTAACAATCGATGGAAAAATATCCTCGGGGGGGAGGTCTGAAAAGTAGACAGGCGTGTGCCTCGGCGGCACGATCCCGGGGCCTCTGATGGGCAGTGCTGGCCTCCTTGCAGGCTGCACGGGGGACCTGCTGGAGGTGCAGCGGCCCGTGGACCTGGGGGCCCTGCGGGGGAAGCTGGAGGGGCTCCT